CCCAGGTGGGTCTCGAACCCATGGGCTCAGGCAATCCACTCACCTCAACCTCCCAAGGCGCGGGATCACAGGCTGAGCCACCGAGCCTGAATGTGGAAGGCCACATTCTTTAGGGTTCTAAGAAAAGGATGCTTCGCAGTGAAACCCAAGTAAAGGTAACAGGCAACAGAGCCTCAGATATGGGATAAGAAACCAGATTCTATTTTGTGTATGTGTGTGTGTGTGTGTATTGGAGTCTCACTCCGTCACCAAGGCTGGAGTACAGTGGCACACTCACAGCCACTCTAGCCTCGAACTGCTGGGTTCAGGTGGTCCTTCCACCTCAGGTCTCCCAAATAGCTGGGACTACAGGCGTGCACCATCACACCTGGCTAATTTTTTAATTTATTGTAGAGATGAGGTCTCACCAAGCTGCCCAGGTTGGTTTCGAACCCGTGGGCTCAGGCAATCCTCTCACCTTGGCCTCCCAAAGTGCTAGGATTATAGGCATGAGCCACCGCGTCCGGCCAGAAACCAGATTCTTTTTTTTTTTTGAGTTGGAGTCTCACTCTGTCACCCAGACTGGAGTGCAGTGGCACGCTCCTGGCCACCACAGCCTCCACCTGCTGGACTCCAGTGATCCTTCTGCCTCAGCCTTCCAAGTAGCTGGAACTACTCTGCACGCCACCACGCCCGGCTAATTTTTTTATTTATTGTAGAGATGAGGTCTCACCAAGTTGCCCAGGCGGGTCTCGAACTCGTAGGCTCAGGCAATCCACTCACCTCAGCCTCCCAAAGGCGCAGGATTACAGGTTGAGCCACCGAGCCCGGCTCTTTCCCCCTACCTAATTCTCCTTTCTCTTTCTCTCTCTTCCTCTCCCACCTTCATCTTTTTACTTCCACTGAAATCCTAGACATCTTATGGCCCAGATCAAATTTCCCTCCTCCAGAAAGCCCTCTCAGACCACCTAGCTCAGGAATCTGCCTAATTAAAGTATGAATTGTTGCAGTTTAAAAGGAAGAGCGGATTTCTGACTCAATATGAGGATTTATCTTCATTCACTCCTGAAATTCCACTAAAACGACAGCAAATGGATTAGAAAACAACAAAGTTTAAACTCACAAGGACAAGAAAGAAAGAAAGCATAAAGAAGGGAGGGAGGGAGGAGAGAAGGAGAAAGAAGAAAAAGAAAGAGAAAGGAAGGAAGGAAGGAAGGAAGGAAGAAAGAAGAAAAAGAAAGAAAGAAAGAGAGAGAGAGAGAGAGAAGAGAAAGAAAGAAAGAAAAGAAAGAAAGAAAGAAAGAAGCCGGGCTCGGTGGCTCTGCCTGTAATTCTGTACCTTTGGGAGGCTGAGGTGAGTGGACTGCCTGAACCCGTGAGTTCGAGACCCACCTGGGCAACTTGGCAAGACCTCATCTCTACAATAAATAAAAAAAAAAATTAGCCGGGCGTGGTAGCGCACGCCTGTAGTTCCAGCTACTTGGAAGGCTGAGGCGGAAGGATCACCAGAGCCCAGGAAGTCGAGGCTGCGGTGGCTGGGAGTGGCCACTACAATCCAGTCTGGGCAGCACAGTGAAACTCCAACTCAAAAAAAAAAAAAAAAAAAAAAAGAAGGAGGGAAGGAAGGAAGAAAGAAAGAAAGACAGAAAAGCAAGCAAGCCAGGCACAGTGGCTCAAGCCTGTAATCCCAGCACTTCGGGAGGTTGAAGTGAGAGGATTGCCTGAGTCCAGAGGTTCAAGACCAGTCTGGACAACTTGGTGAGACTTTGTCTCTACAACAAATAGAAAAATTAGGCCGGGCCTGGTGGCTCAGCCTGTAATCCCAGCACTTTGGGAGGCCGAAGCAAGTGGATAGCCTGAGCCGGATTCAAGACCCACCCGGGCAATTTGGTGAGATCTCGTCTCTACAATAAATAAAAAATTAGCCGGGCGTGGTAGCACTTGCCTGTAGTTCCAGCTACTGGGAAGGCTGAGGTGGAAGGATCGCCGGAGCCCAGCAGGTCAAGGCTGCGGTGGCTGGGAGTGTGCCACTGCACTCCAGTCTGGGCAACAGAGTGAGACTCCAACTAAAAAGAAAAAAGAAAAAGAAAAATTAGGCGGGTGTAGTGGCATGAGCCTTGTAGTTCCAGCTACTTGGAAGACTGGGGCAGAAGGATTGCCTGAACCCAGCAAGCTGAGGCTGCGATGGCCGTGAACATGCCACTGCACTTCAGTCTGGGCAACAGAGTGAGACTCCAACCAAAAAAAAAAAAAAAAAGAAAGAAAGAAAGAAGAGAGAAGAGAAGAGAAAAGAAAGGAAAGAAACAGAAAGGGGCCATGCACTGTCACTCATGCCTACAATCCCTGTACTTGGGGAGGCTGAGGCAGGAGGATTCCTTAAGTCCAGGAGTTCAAGACCAGCGTGAGCAATATAATGATACCCTATCTCTACATCAAAAATGAAAACCAGCCCAGGCGCGGTGCCTCAGTCTGTAATCTCAGCACTTTGGTAGGCCGAGGCAAGAGGATTGCCTGAGCCCAGGGGTTCAAGACCAGTCTGGGCAGCTTGGTGAGACCCGTCGCTACAATAAATCACAAAAAATTAAGCGGGGCCTGGTGGCTCAGTCTGTAATCCTGCGCTTTGGGAGGCTGGGGTGAGTGGATTGCCTGAGCCCACGGGTTCGAGACCTGCCTGGGCAACTTGGCGAGACCTCATCTCTACAATAAATCAAAAAATTAGCCGGGCGTGGTAGCGCGGGCCTGTAGTTCCAGTTACTTGGAAGGCTGAGGTGGAAGGATCACCGGAGTGGCCACTGCACTCCAGTCTGGGCAACAGAGTGAGACTCCAACTAAAAAAAAAAAAAAAAAATCACAAAATATTAGCTGGTCTTGGTGGCTTGCATCTGTAGTTCCAGCTACTTGGAAAGCTCAGGTAGAAGGATCGCCTAAGCCCAACAGGTCAAGGCTGCGGTGGCCGTGAATGTGCCATTTCACTCCAGCCTGGGTGACAGAGTAAAACTCCAACTCAATATATAAATAAACAAACAAATAAATAAGAGCTGGCATGGTGGCTCATGCCTGTAATCCCAGCACTTTGGTAGGAAGAGGTGAGAAGATTGACTGAGTTCAGAGTTCAAGACAAACCTGGACAACCTCGTCTCTACAATAAATCAAAAAATTAGCCATGCGTGGTGGCACATACCTGTAGTTCCAGCTACTTGAAAGGGTGGGGTGGAAGGATCACCTGAGCCCAGCAGGTCGAGATTGCAGTGGCCATGAGCTTGCCACTGCACTCCAGCCTGGGCGACAGTGAGGCTCTGTCTTTAAAAAAATTTTTTTTTTAATTAAAAATAAATAAAAACTTGGAAGGCTGAGGCGGAAGGATCGCCGGAGCCCAGCGGGCGAGGCTGCGGTGGCCGGGAGCGGTCACTACACTCCAGTCTGGGCAACAGAGTGAGACTCCAACTCAAAAAAAGAAAAAATACAAAGAACAAAATGAGAGAAGTTAGACCTTTATCTCACACCATATACAAAAACTAGTTAAAATTTATCAAAGACTTAAATATAAAAGCTGAAACTATAAAACTCTAAGAAGAAAACATTGGGTAAATCTATTTGACCTTGATTTGGCAGTGGATTCTTAGATATGACACCAAAAACCACACGCAACAGAAGAAAAAGTAGGGAAATCGGATATCATCAAAATTAAAAACTTTTGTGTATCAAAGAACATTATTGAGAAGTGAAAAGGTTGACCGGGCTCAGTGACTCAGTCTGTAATCCCAGCACTTTGGGAGGCCGAGACAAGTGGATTGTCTGAGCCCGCGGGTTCGAGACCCACCCGGGCAACTTGGTGAGACCTTACCTCTACAATAAATAAAAAATTAACTGGGCATAGTAGCGCGTGCCTGTAATTCCAGCTACTTGGAAGACTGAGGCGGAAGGATTGCCTGAGCCCAGCAGCTCGAGGCTGCGGTGGCTGTGAGCATGCCACTGTACTCTAGCTTGGGTGACAGAGTGAGACTCCAACTCAAAAAAAAAAAAAAAGAAAGACAACAACAGAACAGGAGAAAATATTTGCTAATCATATTTCTGATAAGAGTCTAATATTCAAACTATATAATAAACTCTTACAGTGCTAGGTGCTATGTATGTCTCATGCCTGTACGCCTGTAATCCCACCACTATGGGAGGCCAAGACTAGAGGATCACTTGAGGCCAGAAATTCAAGAGTTTGAGGCTAGCCTGGGCAAAATAGTGAGAACGTGTCTCTACAGAAAATTTGTTTTTTAATTAATTTTTTTTTTTTTTAGTTGGAGTCTCACTCCATCACCCAAGCTATAGAGTGCAGTGGCATGTTTACAGTCATCCCAGCATCAACCTGCTGGGCTCGGCAATTCTTCCGCCTCAGCCTTCCAAGTAGCCAGAACTACAGGCCCACGATACCATGCCCGGCTAATTTTTTGATTTATTGTAGAGATGAGATCTCACCAAGTTGCCTGGGCTGTTCTTGAACCCGTAGGCTCAGGCAATCCTCTCAGCTCAGCCTCCCAAAGTGCTGGAATTATAGGCTCGAGCCATCTGCCCGGCCCAGAAATTTTTTTTTAAAGCTGCATAGTAGTATGTGCCTGAAGTACCTGTTAGTTACTCAGAAGGCCGAGGCAGGAGGATCACTTGAAGCCAAGAGTTTAAGGCTGTAATGTGCCATCATCATGCCCGTGAATAGCCACTGTACTCCAGCCTGGGCAACATAGTAAGACCCCACCTCAAAAAAAAAAGGAACTAAGTGCCACAATATAGATGAACCTTGAGGACATCATACTTAGTGAAAGAAGATAGACACAAAAAGAAAATAATTATGTTTATATGAAATATGGTATTCAGAATATGCAACTCTATAGAAACAAAAAGCAGATCTGTACAAAGCATGGTTTCTGGCGCCTGTAGTCCCAGCTATTCGGGAGGCTGAGAGGGGAGGAACATTTGACCTCAGGAGTTCCAGACCAGCCTGGCTAACATAGTTAAAATCTACCACCTGAGAAGCAGCTGCAGCGCTGAGCGGAGGAGGCAGGAACCAAGTTCGAGCGGCAGCTGGGTGGGCACCATGGCTGGAATCACCACCATCGAGGCGGTGAAGCGCAAGATCCAGGTTCTGCAGCAGCAGGCCGATGATGCCGAGGAAAGAGTCGAGCGGCTGCAGCGGGAAGTAAAGGGAGAAAGGCGGATCCGGGAACAGGCTGAGGCTGAGGTGGCCTCCTTGAACCGTAGGATCCAGCTGGTCGAAGAGGAGCTGGACCGTGCTCAGGAGCACCTGGCCACTGCCCTGCAAAAGTTGGAAGAAGCAGAAAAAGCTGCTGATGAGAGCGAGAGAGGTATGAAGGTTATTAAAAACTGGGCCTTAAAAGATGAAGAAAAGATGGAACTCCAGGAAATCCAACTCAAAGAAGCTAAGCACATTGCAGAAGAGGCAGATAGGAAATATGAAGAGGTGGCTCGTAAGTTGGTGATTATTGAAGGAGACCTAGAACGCACAGAGGAGCGAGCTGAGCTGGTAGAATCCCGTTGCCGAGAGATGGATGAGCAGATCAGACTGATGGACCAGAACCTGAAGTGTCTGAGTGCTGCTGAAGAAAAGTACTCTCAAAAAGAAGACAAATATGAGGAAGAGATCAAGATTCTTTCTTTTTTTTTTTTGAGTTGGAGTCTCACTCTGTCGCCCAGACTGGAGTGCAGTGGCCGCTCCCGGCCACCGCAGCCTCGGCCTGCTGGGCTCCGGCAATCCTTCCGCCTCAGCCTTCCACGTAGCCGGAATTACAGGCATGCGCTACCACACCCGGCTGATTTTTTTTTTTTTTTTGATTTATTGTAGAGATGAGGTCTCGCTGCCCAGGCAGGTCTCGAACCCGCGGGCTCAGGCAATTCACTCACCTCAGCCTCCCAAAGGCGCGGGGTTA